CTGTGGCTCAAGTGGTAGAGCGCTAGCCTTGAGCTGAAGAGCTGAGGGACAGCGCCCAGGCCCAGAGTTCAGGCCCCACGACTGGACCCAAAAATAAATAAATTAATTAAATGCTTTTCAGTACTGGAGACTGAACCCAGGGCTTCATGTTGCTGAACCACACCCCAGTTCCTTTTGCTTTAATTCTTTTTCAAATAAGGTCTTACTTTTTTTTTCATATGAGCTGACCAGCATTTATGCCTCCAGCAAAGCTAGAATGACAGATACATCTTACCATAGCCAGCTTTAGTAGTTGGGATAAGGTATCACTTTTTACCTAGGCTGGACTCGAAGAACTGCAATCCTGATCTCCAGTTTCAGGGAGCTTGGGTTCCAGACACTGAGCTCACTAAGTGATGCACCTCTTGAATCACATGCCTAGTCCTTTTGCTCTCAGTCTGTTTTTCAGGTAAGGTTTCACACAGGCCAGTCTCAGATTTGGATCCTCAATCCTCCTACCCCCACCTCTCAAGTATAGGATTACAGGCATACACCACCATGCCCTGCCCTGTTTGGGGTTTTGTTTAGAGATATATCTATACATCTATCTAATTTATCTATCTACCTACCTACCTACCTACCTACCTATCACATTGTGAATGCCTAGAGTCCGGTATAATTTATCATGTCCCAGTGTATTTTAGATCTAGCTTCCCCATGAAAGGAAACATGTGTCTCTTTATTGGCTTATCTCACTGTACACGATTTGTTCTAGGTCCATCCATTCTAAGAAACCTTTTTAACAAAAATGTTCAGGTTGCAGCTCAATAACACAACACTGCATGTGGCCCTGAGTTCAATCCCCAGCAACACCACAAGAAAAGCAAGCCATGAACATGTTACCAGGTTGATGTAGAGACAGGGTAGTTAGGGGGCTCCTGGCACAGAATCTAAGTACTGACAACTTCACAGTTTACGCCAAGGGCAGGAGCTGGTGAATGTCCCTGTGCTTGTCCTCCTAAAAGCTCAGACATCTTACACGATTACCCTAACACCTAGGGTCCCTTGGAGGAGTGGGACTAAGGGGATGCGCAAGTCATCTGGGCACGAAGGCAGATCTGCCCAAATCCGCTCTAGTTCTCCAAGGGTGGCCTTGGGACTGCATGGAAGAATCTGCCTCCAGACCCCAGAAGCCCCTGGGTGCCCGCATAGCCCAGGCCC